GGGAAGGAACTGGGGCTGGGGTACAGCAGGTATGTGGGTGTGTTTATAAAACAGCAATACAAGCAATCCTTGTGATGGAACTGCTCTGTATCTTAACTGTTGGTAGACACAAAAACCTACACATGTGATAAAAGAGCACAGAAGTATACACACACACGTGCACGCACACATGCGCATAAAACTGGAGAAAGCTATATAGGATCAGCAGATTGTATCAATGTTAGCATCCAGGCTGTGACCTTGTGTACTATACATAGACCTGTACTATGTATACAGTACACATAGTATACATAGTACATATACACACAGATAGTGCTGCAGTACAAGATACCGGAGATCTCCCTGTATTTGTTATTACAAGTGCATGTCAATCTACAAGTACCTCAAAATTAAAAGTTTAATTAGGAAAAAAATACCACAACATTTTCTTTTGGAAATAGAAATGGTGATTCTTAAGTTCACTTGGAAAATAAGCAAAATCAGGACAAAGCAAAAATATTTACTTTGACTTCTACTCCACATTGTCCTGGAAGTTTAAGCCAGGGCAGTGATGCAAGAAAAATTAAGTCACCCACAGAAGAAAGAAAGAAAAGTAAAACCACTGGTATCTATCTTAGCCTCTCTGGAGAAAAAGAGGGTTCCTGCTTGGCTCCCAGAACCATCCCACACAGAAAGGAGGGGAACCAGATGAAATTGGACACGGGTGAAAGGTCAAAGCAGAACTTAAAAGCCCAGGCTTTATTGTACAGAACAGGACAGAAAGCATAAAGAAAGGTATAAAAGAAAAGAATCCCTGGGATAGAAAGAAGTATTTTCTTAGAAAACCATCAACACTGTTTAGTCAAAGTTTACCCCTCCCCTCCAAACACACACTTGAGATCAGGAGTTTGAGACGAGCCTGGCCAACATGGTAAAACCCCATCTCTACTAAAAATACAAAAATTAGCTGGGCATGGTGGTGGCTGCCTGTAATCTCAGCTACTTGGGAGGCTAGGCCCGAGAACCGCTTGAACCTGGGAGGCAGAGGCTGCAGTGAGCTGAGATCATGACACTACACTCCAGCCCAAGTGACAGAGGGAGACTCTGTCTCAAAAAAACAAAACAAAAAATATGAGTAATTTAGCAACATTGCAGGATACAAGATCAATATACAAAAATCAAATGCATTTCTTATATATTAGTCATACACAAATACAAGTTGATATGAAAATAAATTGCTGACAGTTGTATGAGATCTGTGTCCTGAAAACCTTGCTGAGAGAAATTAAAGAACAAAATAGATGGAGAGATACTATGTTAATAGATCAGAAAACTCAATGTGGTTAAGATGTCAATTTTCTCAAATTGTTTTACAAGTTCCATGAAATGCCAATCAAGATTGCAGTGGGCTTTTTTGTAGTAACTGACATGCTCATCTTAAAATCTATATGAAAATGCAAAGAACCTAGATTAACCAAAACAACTTTGAAAAGGAGACTAAAGTTTGAAAAACTACCTAAAGTTGAAAACTACCTAATTCCAAGACTGGTTAGAAAGCTGTAAGTAACTGAGACCGCACTGGTATTTGTATAAAAATAAACAAATATATCAGTGGAACAGAACAGAGAGCCCAGAAATATTCACCCACATATGGCCAACCAATACAGAGCAATTTAATGGGGAAAAAAAAAATAGTCTTTCAACAGATGGATATCAATATGTCAAAAGGAACCTAAATCCATATCCAACACATACAAAAAATTAACTCAAAAAGGATTATAGACCTAAATGTGAAACCTGAAACTGTAAGACTTATAGAATATATTAGACAATTTGTGACATTGGGTTAGGCAAACATTTCTTACATACAATATCAAAATCATAGTCCACAAAATAAAATTTGGGGCAGGGCACAGTGGCTTATGCCTGTAATCCCAGCACATTGGGAGGCTGAGCTGGGGGTATCACCTGAGGTCAGGAGTTCAAGACCAGCCTGACCAACATGGTGAAACCCTGTCTCTACTAAAAATACAAAAATTAGCTGGGCGAGGTGGTGGGTCCCTGTAACCCCAGCTACTCGAAAGGCTGAGGCAGGAGAATGGCTTGAACCCAGGGAGAGGAAGTTGCAGTGAGCTGAAATTGTGTCACACTCTGATCAACAGAGTGAGACTCCATCTAAAAAAAAAAAAAAAAAAAAAGGAAATTTTGGTAAATTGACCTACACCAAAATTAAATACTTAGCTCTGTGAAAAACACTATTTAAAAAATGAAAAGGCACACACTAGGCAGAAATAATTATATATCACATGTGATACAGAATTTGTATCAAAAATACATAAAATTTCTTAGAATTCAACCAAATTAACATACAAAAGATCTGGACAGACATTTCATCAAAGAAGACACAGATGGCAAATAAGCACGTGAAAAAATGCTCGATACCTAATTAGTCACTAAAACTATAAGATACCACTCTACACCTAAAAGAAGGCCTACTATTTAAAAAGACTGATACTACCATGTAATGTCAAAGATGTAGAGTGAAGCAACCAAAAGTCAAACAAAGTTACGGTGGCAATGGAAAATGGTATAACCACTTTGGAAAACAGTTGGAAATTTCTTAAAAAATTAAATGTGTACTTATCATAAGACCCATTTAGTACATTCTAAATTATTTATCCAAAAGAAATAAAAGCAGTCATTCATATAAAGATTTTTTTTTTTTTTGGAGATGGAGTTTTCACTCTTGTTGCCCAGGTGGAGTGCAATGGCACAGTCTCGGATCGCCGCCACCTCTGCCTCCAGGGTTCAAGCAATTCTCCTGCCTCAGCCTCCTGAGTAGCTGCGATTACAGGCATGCACCACCATGCGCAGTTAAGTTTTGTATTTTTAGTAGAGACGGGGTTTCTCCATGTTGGTCAGCCTGGTCTCGAACTCCCGACCGTTGGTGATCCACCCACCTAGGCCTCCCAAAGTGCTGGGAATACAAGTGAAGCCACTGCGCCTGGCCTCTAAATATAAAGACTTCTACAAAAATGTTCATAGCAGCTTTGCTCATAATAGCCAAAACCTGGAAATAATTGTCTATCAACAGGTTAACAAATAAATAAATTGTTATCCCTCATACAATGGACTACTACTGGCCAAATCAGAAGAAATGAAGATGCAACAGCATGGATAATCTTGAAATAATCATGCTGAGTAAAAGAAGTTAGACAGAAAAGAGTACATATTGTAGGATCCCATTTCTATTAAATTCTAAAGGGCACAATCTACTGAATAGTGACACAAGGCAGCTGAATCTACCTGACGATGGGAGAGGAGACGTTGGAGGGTTACAAAGTGGCATGAGACAAATGTGTTGTCATCTGTGAATATTCTTTATTCCAAATGTATTAATTATTTTGATTGTGGCAATGGTATATTCATATTATCAAAGTTTATCAAATTGTACACTTTAAACACTATAGTTTACTATTAATTATACCTCACTAAAGTGACTAAAAAAGAAACCCACCACACTTTCTTTTAAAAACAGAAAACATGATTCTTAAGTTCCTAGGGAAAAAACAATAAGCAAGTGAGAATAGTCAGGAGAATCCTTAAAAAAAAAAAAAAAAAAAACTAACAAAATAATAAAAAAAAACACCCCACAAAAAAAAAAAAAAAGCCCCCCAGCAGAACAAAAAGAGAAAGAAACTGTTGAGACACAGTTTTAATAACTGGTGTCTTAATAACATGATAAAGCTACATAGAGTTCTAAATTATAATAATACTAAATGATCCAACAGAGATTAATGATATAAACTAGTAAGTCCAGAAAAAAATTACATATATGTAAAGAATACATTAATATACTACAGACTAGGCACAGTGGCTCATGCCTATAATCCCAGCACTTTGGAAGGCTAAGGTAGGAGGATTGCTTAAGCCCAGGAATTCAAGACCAGCCTAGCTAACATGATAAGATTCCCATCTGTACAAAAATTTAAACATTAGCCAGGCATGGTGGTATACATTTGTGGTCCAAGCTACTCAGGAGGCTGAGGCAGGAGGCTCTCTTAAGCCTAGGAGTTTGAGACCAGTCTGGTCAACATAAAAAGACTGCACAGAAAATATTTCAAATTTGCTGGGTGTAGTGATGCATGCCTATAGTCGTAGCTACTCGGGAGGCTTGGATATGTGAGGCTGAGGTTACAAGGAGCTGTGACCACACCAGCACTCCAGCCTGGCTAACAGAGCCAGATGCTGTCTCAAAATGAAACAAAAAGAACAACCTTCCAAAACCCCATATGGCAGTTGCAATCCATAAAAATGATTCAATTCTAACACGAATCTATTTTATAAAAATAAAAAATGTGATCCAAGAATTATTTCAAGGTTGTTCAGTGTGAAGTTCTTTATAAAATGAACAAAGTACAAAACTACTTAGATGTTGAAAAAATTGTGACTTGAATTATGGTATGATATTTAAATTATAAAAATGAAATATTTGAACAAATGACAAAAATTATATAAAGTACATCACTTAACCAATTCTCCTGCCAAAATTTATGCAAAGTACAACTAAAAAGGTTTACACACATAATTTTTAATTGACTAGAAAGAAGTACTTCAAGAAGTTAGCAAAGGTTTTCTTATGGGTTGGTAGAATTCTGGTATGTTATATACTTTTCATTCTAAATTTTCCATAATGCATGCTACCTTTATCATCAAAAGAAAAATATAAATGTTATTTGTGTTTATTTTTCACATCACACAAAATCTATTTTTAACAAACACATGATAAAATTTATGGAGTTTCTCACTTTTCTTTCAGGTCCATAGGTAATCAGTTAGCCAACCAGAGAAAATAAGGTCATCGTAAAAGGAAAAACCAGAATATTACCTGGCTCATTACTCCTGTCTGAATTCCCAAAAGCATTTCACAAATGACCATTATTTTCAACTTGACTATTGTCTAAGATAACAGAAGAAAATAAAGTGTAGAGAAACCAGTTCTCCTGAAGAAAGCAGCTCTTTACTTACCATCTTCTGCTAAGACCTTGGCTGCATGTTTATCGTCTTCCCACTTTCCAGTCACGAAGCAATCTATGATACTGTTCATGACCTTATGCAGAAAAGTCAGCACTTAGGTGAGGTGTTCCAATCACTCAGCAAAACAATATAAGAAACGGTAATAAGCAACAACTTGCCTTGAAATATTTTCCATGTTCATGGATAGTCTCATTGCAAATGAGCCTAGGAAATAACTTTACCTTTGATGAAGACAGTTTAACCAGAGATTAAAAACATTAAGCAGCAGATAGGGAAAGTATTAAATACTACTAGTCTACTGACCTCATAAGTAAACAAACAGATAATTACTAATTCAACTAATTTTCAATTTTATTAAGGTTTCTAAGGGGATGCAATGAGACAGTTTACATATTGGTCTTGCTACTCGTTAATCTAAACATGTCTGTTTGAAAACTTAATGCCTATACAATGGGAGAAGTTATATGCAAATTATATATCTGATAACAGACTTATATCCAGAATATATAAACAATGCATACAACTAAGTAATCCAGTTTTTGAAATGGGCAAACAATATGAAGATATTTTCCAAAGAATATATACAAATAGCCAATAAGCACATGAAAAGATGTTCAACATCATTGTCTATCAGGGAAATGCAAGTCAATACTACAATGAGATACCACTTCACCCCCTCTAGGATGGCTATAATCAAAAAGACAGATAATAACAAGTGTGGTGAAGAAGTGGTGAAATTGGAACCCACATACAGTGCCAGTGGGTAAGAAAAATGGCACAGTCACTTTTGAAAAGAGAAATGAGAGAGTATATGAGGGAAAAAAAATCTTTAATTGTTTCCAGTAATCATATTATTCTGACACTGTTTTGTGTGTAATAATAGGATAAAACAAATGAGTGATTATGAGATTCTCTAATTTCATCATCTTCTGATTCAACCAGGGAATAATTGTCTAGTACAAGAATGAATAAGATGTAGTCCTGAATTCAAACTGGAAATATCTATATGAACTCACCTGCTTCAGGTCACTGAGAAGCCCTAGAAGTAATGACCAACTCATGGCAGTAAGCATTCCTATGCTGTCAAGCTGAAATATAATTTTCTACTAAAAGACATCAGAACTTTTCACGGGTGATTCCAAATGCTCTCTCACATCAGAGAGCAAGAATTGATTAAGGATGACTACAATCATCACATAAGGACTCAGGAGCTGGTGTACAGGGACTTCCACAGGCCACAGGTGGGATAAAAGGAGCTTTAAGAAGGATTACAGGTGCACCAGCACAAGGCACATCAACTACATTTATATCCATGACATCACAATAATATTTACAAAGAAGTATCCTTTGGAGAATCACTCCAAAAACTGATTAAAAAATCAAGCATTTACTCTATATATTTGGAAGTGGATAACCAAATAGTAGAAGAGGAAACGTTTCTCTTTAAAGAAGTATTACAGCTAATAAATAAAGAGAAATGATGAAAAGAACATCACCACTCTATGTTCTTAAGAAGTTAATGGTTCTAGGCATTGAGCATCAACAACTCATAACATTTAACATCATTAAAAACACACAACTGGTCTTTACACCCCTCCTAATCAGAAAACACCACCACCTGGAAAGCAGTTTTGCTGAAAAATAAAAATCAAATTTAAATCCTATCCAACTGCTAGATGTTTTGTCCATCGGGTAACTAGAACCACATGGCTATTTAAAATAATCTTAACCAAGATTAAATAAAACTTAAAATTTAGTTCTCCAGTCTCACTAGCAGCTCAGTAGCCACAACCCCCAACTCAGATACACATTCTGCTCATCACAGAAGTTCTATCAGTTTTGCTCCCTACCCATTCACAGGAAATATAGGAGAGCCGGAGAAACTGCAGAGGGATGCAAAGCAATCCACAAAATCCAGAATACAAGAAACTCTACAGACCAAAGACTTGGTTTCTTAAATAAAATGTAATCAAAAAAAGAAATGAAAAGGAAGATTGTTGACTAAAAAATTTAAAAGATAGACTGAAAAAGTCATGAAAATCAGGTAAAAGTAAACTACGATGCTTATGGAAACATGGAGGAGAAAACCAGGAAGAAAAGGAAAGAATCACCATAAGAGGCTGGACCACACCTCCTTCTACAGGGAGAAAGGGGACCCTGGTTGGTGTTGCAATCAAGCAGCAAAGCTTATTTTCACAGCCTGAGTGCTGAATACAGGGGTATTCACCTTCTGGCAACCCATTAAGTTAAACAATTGTTTCTATGTGGTTTTCCATAGCCGTATTAAATTTCACCATCAAAAATGGTTCAATAAAATCTCATAAATTATTACCTGGCAAATTATAATAGGCAGGATGAGAGCAACTGGGCCTCTGTGAGAAGTGTCAACTAAGCCAAACTGAATTGACAAAAAAAAAAGGTAGCCTTTGGAAGATCAGAACATTCCAAAAGAGAATATAAAGAAAGGGGCTGGTGCGACGGCTCACTCCTGTAATCCCAGCACTTTGGGAGGCCAAGACAAGAAAATCACTTGAGCCCAGAATTTGAGACTCTAGCTCAACATGGTGAAACATTGTCTCTACAAAAAATGCAAAAATTAGTCTGGCCTGGTGGCTTGTGCCTACAATCCCAGCTATTCCAGAGGCTGAGGTGGGAAGATCCCTTGAGCCCAGGAGGTCGAGGCTGCATTGGACCATACACTCGTGCCACTACACTCCACCCAGGACTGCAGACCAAGACTGTGTCTCCAAAAAAAAAAGAGACAGAGGAAAGAAAAGATCTAAGAGTAAGAGGAGGGTAAGCTGTGGCAAGTTTCAGTGTGACAACAAAGTGGTGGGCTACAGGAAGAACATTTATAGGTATCAGATTTCTGTATGCTTACACATAGCAGAAACTATAAATGTTAACTCAGGGATGCTACATATATCCTAGTGATGAGATGCAAAATACATCAGATGTATAAAAACTTATGTGTGATACTTCAAAATAAAGATTTGCACTACTGTCCACACTGGAAACTAAACCTGTCCTCCGTGGGCCATGCACATGGTCTAACTGAACTCAGAACCTGTTATTGCTTAGGATTGATGAAATGCCCACTACAATATCTAGATGACCTGTCATCCTATAAAAATAAGAAGCCAACAATAGGTAAACAATATTGACATCAGACAATCTTATTCTAGAACAATTCTCTAATAAATCAAATTTACCACCCCCTTACCGCCTCTAAATTCCAGTCATGGGGCGCCCCCACAAGAAATCTGGAGCAGTCCAAAGAGTCAGCCTTGTGCTTACACCCTCTGTCAGGCTGGCTGACACGAAATAACCCTCCAAGCTCTTCTTGGGTATCATCATCTCCTTCATTATCTTCTGTCACTAAAGAGAAGACCATGGCAAAAACGTGAGAACAAAAACTACAGTCCTAGAGGACTCATCATTTTTAACTAGTTAGGCATGAGTCTTTGAACTCAGGAACTGAGGGTCTCTGTCTGTGTGGGGTATGATGATGGCCAAATATGAGTCAGGCACTGAGAAGCCAGGTCAGCCACAAGTGAAGAGAGGCCAGGAAGCTATTGCTCTATACGTGTGGGGGCTCCTGCGCTCCTGCATGGCAGCAGCTAAGCGGTCGAGGAGGACTGAGAATATTAAGGGTCGAGGAAGGGAAGGGACATTTAAAAGCAGTGCTTTTAAATGTAGATCAATAAAGAAGACCTCTAAAGAGTGCTGAGTCTCTCATCACTGAGAGTATACCTAGACAAAACCGAAATGAAAATCAGTACACAACAACCCTCCCACTTCAGTGTGCTGGGCCCAAATGTCTTACCATGTGGCCTCGATCTCATCATGCAGTAACCAGGCACAATATGAAGTTCACCACTATAGATTTATTTTTATATTAATTCTACCACAAAGAACATACAGGTAAGTTTAATAAAGCATAAAATCAGAGGACAAGGGCAAAAGAGAGAACAAAATGTATGATACAGGGTTCTCATTTTCAAAAAGAAACAAATATTTTTATGGGCAGAAATGTTTTTTGGCACTAAATTCTACAAAAAATTTCTCAGGAAGGACTTTTAAAAAGAGGACATCACATGATGCAATAGACAGTATTTGCATCAAGTTTCACAGCAAACCCCTAAGTTTACTTCACAAAACCAATGTGTGGTCCTCGTAAGCTGATGATTAAAGACATCTGCCAAATAGGAAATGTGACGGCCAGCAATTATGGATGTCAACAATACCAGCCCAATCCTCCAACCATTCCCTCATCTCCTTTTCAGAAAATAATCAGAGAAACTGAAACATTTCCAGCTCTGAACCAGAATTCTTTACCTGTCCCATAAATAAGCTTTTGGAGGTTTGGAGCTTCTTGCTGCTGCCTCAGAAAGGCCTCAGTTGCCTTTCTGGAAAGGCCTTCCTTCCACTTGAGGGCACCTGAAATGACCAACATCAATATCCAGTGAGGCTTGTTTACATGTCTCCCCTACCTCAAGACCATCCACAATGCAGAATCTCAACAGTTAACAAAATCTTAAAATCAAAAGACCCTCAAATGTAGACATTCCTTTGGGTACCATTTCAAGAGTCAAGTTCATAGTAGCAACCAACTAAATTTAAGCTTACCTGAGGTTTCTGTGGGATCATTCTTTTCTTCCTTGTAATCTTCTTCCTCTTTGAGTAAATCTTCTATATCACTGGTCTCATCAATTAAGTTCCTTGACCCCAGTTTCTGACCACTGCCCACCTGAGAAAGCTTCGAAAGCTTTTTCCTAAGAGCTTCTTGATTTTCTGAGTCCTCTTCCTCTATACTGAGCGAGGAACTTTCTTCAGATTCATCATCAGATGCAAACACCTCTTCAGCTGTGCAATGCCCAGAATCGGAAGTGGTGAGGGCTGCTTTCTTCATCGGCAAAGACTTCTCCAGATTCACACGGTCACTCTGGTGATTAGCTGGCGACAGCTCTGCTATACTACCTTCTCCAGCAGCCTTTGATCCTGAAATGCCCCTCTCTCCTGCAGTGCAGTCCTCTTCTTCACTGCTTTCATCAGCTTCCTCCGCTTCCCCTTCTTCTGCTGAGCTCCTCTCAAGGTCATCTCACTGTCAGCAAATGCTGGCAAATCTGCTTCACTGTCTTCTAACTCAAGTTTCCGTCGTTTGATGTCCTTAGCAGTCACCTCAGCATTTTCCTCCTCGTCTGCTTCCTCATCACTAGAGCCGTCTTTCAACCCGTCATCTTCAGACATGTCATCATCTTCTTTATCATCACTATCTCCAGATCCATCTTCATCACCAAAAATGGCTTTCCGACGAATTCGACCAGTTTTCAAGTCCATTTGTTTTTCCTCCTTTGGCATCAACAGCCTATATTATTACCAAGGAAATGCAAAAGAATTCAATTCGTACATTAATCAGCTAATCTAGAAATGGCAATATAGTCAATGAAAATACAAAGAAATAGAAAATGTCAAGGAATTGTTTAAGATGACATAAGAAAAAAATGATCTGATAAACATTGTAAGAGTTAATAAGCAAACTCAGGCGTGGTTCCCTAATACAACACTTCAAAAAAACTTACAGAGAGAATAAAGGAATAACCCTCTTAAAAAAAAAAAATCTAATTTTAGAAAAAAATTGCTAAAAAGGGAAGTTAATATTTTGTAGATCTTTTGGAAAGCTGATTTATTTCTAAGCTAAAAACACATGATTCTTAAGAGAAATGGCTGAGTCTGGGCCCAAAGCAGAAAGTCGGCAAAATGAGCCTGATCCTCTTTTTCTGTCAGAAAGAAGGAAACACTCAAAGACTAACAAAGACAGTTGAAAGGACAGAGGAGACAGGCTGAAATCTCCCGCTGCCGAATCTGGGACAGCATAGGCATCAGAAAGAATAATGATAGTGAAGGAAAATGACCCATGGAATAAAACGCAACTGCATTAGTCAGCAGTGATACCGAAATAAAGGGGAGAAGTGAAAGCTCTTTGTTAAAAATGCAAGCTAATGAACGTAGGAGGAGTGACAGAGGAAGAAAATCCATTTTAAGTCACCAGTGCCACAACTGACAGAGAAGAAACATCAGGAGGCTAAAATCACAGAATGAAAGAAAACTGTATGAAGCTGTTTAACGTAGCATGATATATAAAATTATGAAAACATAAATTAGAAAAAACTAAAAATCATACCATAAGAGATGGGTAAGTTAGAATACAGCAATAATAGACCAGGCAGAGTAGCTCACAACTGTAATCCCAGGACTTTGGGAGGCCAAGGTAGGAGGATAGCTTGAGCTCAGGAGTTCTAGACCAATCTGGGCAACATAGTAAGACCTCTTCTCTAGAAAACAATAAAAAAATTAGCCGGGAGTAGTTGAAAGGACACAGGAGACAGGCTGAAGGCTTGCACACTCCTGTAGTCTCAGCTACTTGGGGGACTGAAGCGGGAGGATCACTTGGGCCTGGGAGTTTAAGGCTGCAGCGAGCCAAGATCATGCTACTGCACTGCAGCCTGGGAGACAAAGTAAGACCTTATCTCAAAAACAAGCAAACAAACAAAAAGAATACACCAATAATAAAATGATGACTACATAAAGACTGTATAGAAAAAGGAAATGCTCGGAATATAGAAATAAAACTATGTATTTTAACTGTAACTATATTAGAAGGGAGTATTCTTATAGACAAGGATGACTAGAAGGATACGCAAAAATGAAAATAGCTAATAATGCTCACTATAAAAGAGTGATCTTTCGGCGAACACTTCTTATCTGTCAGGTATTGTGCTAGGTAGTTTATGCACATTGCAACAAATTTTCAGATAAATTTTACTGGGAGTCATAAATCAATACAACAAAACCAATGTTTTACAAACATCCACTATGTATAAAGGCACACAAATTCCCAACCTAGACTGAAAAATAATTTACATAAGCCGCACATCAGTGGAAACCTACCCACGGGAGATAATACAACGTAATCTAAACAAAACTTTCAGAGACAAAGCACATGGCTTCTGGGCAGCCACAAACTCCCTGACTCTGCTCTAGTGTTTTGGCCACCAAAAGAAAGCCCAGTGGCCTCAGGTCTCTTAAAAACAAAAAGCAACCTATGGAAGATGGTGTGGCATTTGAGGAATATTTAGGGTCTGTTGAAAAATGCATCCTGTATTTTATTTCAAGAAAACACTCCCTTGTAATGTCAGGTATGTGAAGAGCCCTCAGAGACACATGCACACACAAAGAAAAACAAAACAACCTGGAATTAATCCCACCAAAATGTGGTCTGATGGCAGAACTATGCATCTTCTGTAATATATCCTTTTATTAAAAATAGAAGAAAGCAGACTTACCCTTGATTATCTTTATCCTCTGACCCAAGTGTCTTGGAGTCAGAAAACAGCATCACTCAACTTGAAGCCATCTTGGCATCAATGGTGGAATGGGTGGAGATGAGACTCTGGACCAGAACATGGGTGGACGCCACCTCATCCTGTCAAGACCACCAAGAAAGGGGACGTGAGGAAAGCACAAAGATCCTGGAGAGACACTGGTTTCACTCAGTTTCTCAAAATTACCTCAGACACATTTCCTGAGAACCTTTCTTAATGCCTCAAAAAGCAGAGAAGAAAATCTTTACAACAAAGCCTGAAATGGATCCCCATCTCCATTAAACTTTTCCAAAGTTGAGGGAGTATAAAAACCTAAACACCTACCTAGAAAAACCTCAGTTCCAATGCTACAACCACAACGCTAGCTTTTCTAATGTTTTAAAATAACCCTGATTTTGACCCAATACAATTCATCTTCAGAACCAAGAAATAAACATTTGAAACCCACTTTAAAATACAGAGGAGACCGCTGTAAATAAGAAAAAGAAAAAGATCAAAGAGAGTTGGAAAGCATATTGATTTTGTAGAAATGAGGATGAGCCGTGCAGGCACCACACTGGCAGCAGTGCCCGTGCTGGGGCCATGGATCAAGGAAGCATGGAGGACAGTACTCTTCTTGGCATAATGAAAAAAGTTTTCTTTTTATTCTATATATTTACAATATGCACTTGGACTTTTATTATAAGTACAAGAGAAAAGTCTTCAATAAATAAAAGCTGAGTACATTACTTTTGTGATTAAAAAATAGATTAGGAAAGAAGAATAAGAGTTCAGAACAATGACTTGTGTCTCACCAATGCCTGAAAACCGTGGCTGCCACCAAGGTCAACACAGACAGCATCTTTATCATACAGCACACCCCCAACTCCACAAAGAGGCGCATAAACCAGCTTATCCTTCTCACTTAAACAGCGCTTCTTCTGTTGTGCAGGAAGAGCACAAGGGTCTGGGAGGAAACTAACGTCACTCACGGTGAAATCTCCTACGCCTAGAACACAGGACCCTTTTAAAAAGCCAGCTTCAGCCGACAAGAAGTCAGTAAGTACCTACTGTTCACTGTGGGGGTAAAAATGATCCACAGTCCAAGGGCTTAAACCATGACACTAAAGAAGGGCATTGTGCCACACTGGAATAGTGCCCCTCTCACTACAAGACAAGAGGTCAGAGAGGAGAGGATTCGATAACACCATTGCAGGCCTAAACATAGCTGGGTTTAAAACCTCCAGCAAGGCCATCTTCCCTTATTTGGTCATTTTTCAGTTTTCCTGAGAAATGAAGCAATCTCGAGAATCCTATGTGTAATTCTAGCATGTTCTAACAACAAGACAATACCTGGCATGTGAGTCTGGTTTTTATTTTTCAAGTGTGCTCCTCTTAACCATAAAGTGACACCTTCTGGTCACATTTGATGTTTGTTCAGATATCTGGCTTTGTCAAATCTTCTAACCTAAAAAAATAAACTCAGCCATACAGCAGAAATGAATGCCAGAACTTCCTATCCCTCCTTTCATGTGTCAGTGACTCATCACGCTCTTGTCCGCTAAGCACATTGTTTAGAAAACTAGAAAATGCAGAAATAAGGAAGCAGTGTTCACCAACCAGCAGAGGAAAAGGGGCAGACACACAACTGTGTCTCTAGGCTGAAAGTGACATTCATTCCATAAGAAACCAGACGGGGAGATGACGTCCACCTGGGGTCAGGGAAGAGTGAAGAACATATTCAGAAAATCCCTTTCTGGAAGACGGCAAGCCTGTACTCTGGGATTTTTACTGTGATGTGGATTCTGGCAGGTGGAAAAAGGGTATTCCAGGCTAAGAAAACCACATGAGGAAGAGCACAAAGGAAGGAAACTGAAGGCACACACCAAGAACTCAAGCACACGGGCACAAGGCAGCATCACTGAAAACTGAGGCTGAACGTAGGATGGGGCCATATCCTGTAGCCTTAAATGCTTCCAAATCCACCCATTTTCCTAAACATCTCATAATTAATTTACTCCCAAAGGCACAGCATCTTGGAGCAATAAGTAAGTAGACATTTTCCATCAACTACACTTCTACCCCCACTATTCAAATAGGCACAAAATAAATTCTATCACTGTTCTTTTCTTTTTCTAGCCTTCTTAACTTTGAAATATATGGCCCAGGAAGAAAAAGTTTACAATCACTTTTACCTGTTTCCCAGGATATAAGGATGAGAAGTTTGCCATGTGAGAGGCCTAAACTTCATAACTGTAATAAAACGGCCCAGATTGTGGATTTCTTGGTTTTGATATTCTCCATGTACCATTCCAGAAAGGTAGAACAGCTTTGTACCCTAAACATTAAAGGAAAATTAAAACTTAAATTTCAATTAAATTCTCATTAATACTGCTGCAAAATAAAAACTCTAAACAAGAAGCAATTGTAAGAAGGGAGGCTTCCAGAGCCTTGCTTCTTTCAGGACTTATTAGAACCCCACAGAGGCAGACTGCTCTGCAGCCAAGCAGAAGTGTCTAAGAATGGTGAGGAGAAGGAGGTGAGGCCTCTGAACACAGAAATGGTTCTGTGGCCAACGAACCAGAGCAGTATGCAAAGGAAGGAGCGGTGCCTGGTCCTATAACTGTGAGAAACTCCTTATATACTCTATTTAAAGTCCCGGTCCCAAAACAGCCAGACACTGCCTGGTGCAGCAGGTAGAAGAGACCAGTGAGATACACCAAGAGGCTCAGAATAAGCAGCCTCTTGAGGGAAATCTTCCAGAGACTGTGAACATACACACACACAGGAAATTCCGGAGGTGAATGCTATAGAGATGTTTACTAATGTCTCTTCAGTCTTTTTTTTATTTTATTTTTTAGATGGAATCTCACTCTGTCACCCAGGCTGGAGTACAATGGCATGATCTCAGCTCACTGCACTCTCTGCCTTCCAGGTTCAAGCAATTCTCATGTCTCGGCCTCACAAGTAGCTGAAATTGCAGGCGCACGCCACCACACCGGCTAATTTTTGCATTTTTATTAGAGATAGGTTTGGCCATGTTGCCCTGAGCTCGAAACTCCTGGCCTCAAGTGATCCGCCTGCCTCTGCCTCCCAAAGTGCTGTTATTACAGGTATGAGCCACTGCACCTGAAATCTTCAGTCTATTTTAAAAGGATTATACTGTTAGTATCCAACAATTATTTCCCTTCCTACCGGGTAAACTTCTGTCCAGAACCTGTGTTTTAATCGCTTCTTTGTCTTCTTCAGCTACTTATTATGCTTGAAGGAGTCGAGGCGGGCGAGAACTCCCATAATTTTAGGAAAACCGTGTACTTGACAGATGTTTAGAAACTCAAACATTTCCATTTCAAACCCAAAGCTGGCATCTATAAGCATCAGTACCTAAAAGCAGAACACATCATTTCTCAAAGAAACTACCAAAACAGACCACCTACACTAGGGGTTGGCAACTGGCCCACGGGCCAAATCCAGCCCAACTCCTGTTTTTATAACTAAACTTTAATTGGGACACAGCCACATAATTCATTTACATATTGTCTATAGCTGCCTTTGCACTACAACTGCAGAGCTAAGTAGCTGCAAGAGATATGATCCACAAAGCCAAAAATATTTACTATCTGGCCCTTGACAGAAAAGTCCCAATCCAGACTAAATCAAATTACTAATAGGCATCACCCTATTAGTGAGAAATCACCACCCTCTGACTTGCTCTAAAAGGCAACCATAAGACAATGGCCACTAGGATATAAACTTTCATTTTAAGAATTTTAATGTATGAGAAGTACTCAGAAAGGGCTGGGTCTAACCTGGACCTTACCCAAGAAATCCTAATTTAAAGAAGTGAAGTTTTCTGTAAGGTATTTTTAAGCCAAATAACAGGTCTCTTGACACCCAAAGAATGGGAAGAAAATAATAATCAATGAAATATTAAATATGTCTTAATCTCCTCATAGAAAAAAAAAATCTGTTTTTTGCTGGGAAGTATGCAGTGGAAACCTTTATCTTATATATTGATTTGTGTAACTCAATTGCTCAGAATTTTTTTTTTGAATTAAGTCAAAAAATAGTACGATTATGATGAATGGTAGTCTGTAAGAAAATTTAAACAGGTAAGACCAATTTTTTAAATTTAAGACACTTCAAAGATGCAAAATAACTTCAGAACTGATTCCTGGAAACTTCTAGTTTTAATATTAAAGACACTTCTGTTCTTATCTTCCTTAGATAACTAAAAATAACAAAAAAAAAAATGGAAACAGAAATGCCCATCTTTGATTAAACTGAGAAACATTCAAAATCCGAAACCACAGACTATATGAAGCTGGGCTTGTGAGAAAGCACAGCTGCCACTGCAGACTGAGGCAGCAAGCAGAGCCCTCCAGCAACACTAGACCAGCTCAAAGGACAGGTGGAATATCTTCACACCACATCTGATGCCACAGAGTGCCAAGGGGCAAGCAGCTGGTTGTAGGGTCAGGAAGAACAGGGGGCAAACAGTACCTCAGCTGTCAAACTCTGTCATCTAAGCCAGTGTTACTCCCCTAATCCACACACACGTACGCACCTAAATTTACATATTGTGTGTGCCTCTCCATACTCAGGAGGCTTTGACAACCCAGAGCAGAGCAAGCAACATAAGGTAGGCTAAATAAATTATGGTGCATTCATAGAATGGATTAAAAAGGATGAAGAACTACAGTACTTACTGATTACATACCTCCAAGATATATTACATGAAAAAAGCAAAGCACAGAACAGTGTGTCAAATAAGCTACCATTTGTGTTTTTAAAGGGTGGCGCGTGTGTTTACATGCATCTGGAAGGATACTGCTCTGCAGGGATCTGAGAGACCAGCAGTTAGAGCAGGGAAAAAGAAGATGTGCATTGTGTGTGCCCTGCATTACAGTTAGAGTACTTTACCATGTGTATGTTCCTTTTGAAAATCTTAAAAAGATTTACATAATAGGCATCTCTCTCAATGATGTAACCATTGAGGGAGGCTGGGAAGGGTAGCAGGGAGGGAGGGACAAAGAGGGAAAGGTTAACAGGTAAAAAAAATACACTTCAATAAAACAAATTCTAGTGTCCAACAGCACAATAGAGTGGCTATAATTTTAATTTAGAATAACTAAAAGAATGAAATTGAAATGTTCCTAACACACAGAAATGATAAATGGTTGAGGTGATAGATATCCTAATTATCCTGATTTGATCATCACATATTGTATACTTCTATCAAAATACCACATGTACCCCATAAATATGTACAACTATTATGTATTTATAATAATTAAAAATAAAAATGTAATGGCATCTCTTAATATGTATGTCTTCAAAATTAGAAACTTGCTACATTTTAAATAAAAGAGAAACAAATGACTTCTTTGAACTATCCCAATCATTTCAAGTACATAAGATTTAGTAAGCTTACACAACATTAATAACAACACTTATTTTTATTAACAGCAGCATTACATGTTCAAAATTTGAATGTTATTTAACTTCCTGACATTACAATGACACAACTTTAAAATCTGTATTACTTTTTACTTTGTAATTTAGGAGTTTCCTGGACCAAAGTATAAAATCTGTAGTTCTTTGTCACCACACCAAACAGCTGCCTAGAAAAAACTAAATAAAAATGAAAAAACCAAGGTATCTGTCACCCCACACTTCCTAAGCAATGTTTTTTTTTTTTTTTTACTAATTTGTATTTTATTTTTGCTAATTTAAAAGACAGTTAATAGAATACCAGAAAATAGTGAACTTTACCATTTCCATAAATGCAAACGCGTGTACATTTTCCATACACTGAGTACTATCTAGATTTTCTATTGATAAACTCTGAGCACTTCTTGAGGGCAATTCATGTACTTACTTATCATTACCATTAAGGAGGAAGGTTCTGGAACCATCGGGAACAAGGGTCCACCTTCACACAAGTTACTTAACTGCTGGGAGGCTCTATTTCATCTTATGGAAACAGCAGATAATACCAACTCACCTCAAGGGGGCATCAAGGGTTTATGTAAGCTAAATGTGTAGAAAGCAGTTAGCACAGTGCCAGGAAGGGTCCAGGAAGAAACGGTACTTACTATGATATATTTGAACGTACATATATGTGTGCATGTGTGTGTGTGTGTGTGTATACACACACATATATATGTGTGCGTGTGTGTATATATATACACACACACATACATACGTTCATTATACAACTCATTAACTTGTGTGTGTGTATATACACACACACACACGCAAGTTAATGAGCTCTTATTAGCTGTGTGCATTAAAGGTTTTTCTCCATCTTGTGATTTGCTTTTAGATTATGGAATATATTTCATTGTGCACATTCCATTTTTATTATTAACATAACAACATTTATTATCATCATCATCAATTCAATCACATGTACTGTATCCCTGATGAAGACCATGTTTCCTTTAACAATTATAAAACTTTCTTCCCTTCATCACGGGGTAAATAACCCACCACAGTGCTGTAAATCTCCATCAGCACCCCAGGCTGCCCCTGCTGACTTACCAGATCTGCTACTTTAGCCAGATCAATCATCATGTTAATGTCACATCCACATTCAATAATGGTGAGTCTGCGCTTTTTACCTATAAGTGAAAAGATAAAAAGTTTACTTTAAAAAGACTCTGAAAAAAAGCATCAACTCTAATTTTCATGTTTTAATTGTATCCAGTAAAACACCATATATGTTTACAGGAGTATACTAGAAGTTCATTTTTATAGGCAAAAACTGGTAACATAAAATAAATTTCATATTGTTTTTCTTGCTGTGTTCTAAACTGAAATAATATCAGAAGTCTACCCAGATGAATAAAAGTGCTCACATAGAGAAAATCCTAACTGGACAGGCTCCATGATAACCATGATTCTGCTGTTCAGCTGCAGGCCAATGTCTTCGCCTCTATCAAAACTTCCCGTATTCCCACTATAGCTAAAAACATCCTCAAACATAATGCAACAGAATATTCATAACAATAATTATTTCTAAATTAAGGTAAAAGGAAAATCGTCAAGAAAATATGGGTTGGGCACAGTGGCTCACACCTTTAGTCCCAAAACCTTGGGAGGCCAATGTAGGCAGATCCCTTGAGCCCAGGAGTTTTGAGACCAGCCTGGGTCACATGGGGAAACCCCATCTCTACAGGGAAAGAAAAAAAAAAAAAGGAAAAATTAGCCAGGCATGGTGGCATATACTACTCGGAAGGCTAAGGTAGGGGGATTGCTTGAGCCTAGGCGGTTGAGGCTGCAGTGAGCTGTAATCACACCACTGCACTCTAGCCTGTGCCACACAGTAAGGCTCTGTCTCAAAAAAAGAAAAAAAAAAATATGGATGCTCCAAAGATAAAGAAAAGCCTCAATTCAACTATAATATTGCAATAACAAAAGATTTCAGACTCTACATTGCCATTCTACCACTGGAAGCTTGTTTCATTTTCCCTCAAACTTGGAAAGTTCACCATCTCCCAAAGCAGACAAATTATCATAGGAAAAAGAGAAAACTCACTTCCACCAGGATGTGGCTTCATAAGGGCAAGCATGTGCACCTGGCACATAGGAAGTGTGTGTTATCTGTTAAATGATGTGTTCACGAGGTGACTAGGCCTCCTAGGTCCTTCCAAGGAACATACCTGGCAAAGCCATAGGGCAGTCACGATAAGACATGTATCACATCCTTATCTCTGAGAACTTACCCTTTTCTGAAGCTATAGCCAACTTAGTAAAAGCATAAGAGAGGTTAACATGGTATGACAATCTTTAATATGTTCCACTCAAGAAAACAACAAACATATGCATGTTCCTTAGAGGACAACAGCCACGCCAACTGTGTCTGTGGCAGCATCTCCTACCTGACACGATTGTCACCAGGCCTCTGATCTCCGTCAACTTCTGCCGGGTGAAGTTCCGAATGAGGCATTGTATCAAAGTGCTCTTTCCAACTTTTGGAGGCCCCATCACTACCACCACTATTGGTGGGGGCTCTAGGGGAGTTCGATACACCACTGGAATATGATGCTTCTTTGTCTTCAAATCCTGAGTTCTATTCATGAAAACCAAAAATAGTAAACTCATTTTCAAAATAGAGTAAAAGGTATCAATTTTATAAGTAGGCTTTTTTTTAGTATACTTATAGAGAGTACTTTAGTATTTTAGAGAGTACAACAGACAATATATAAATATATTAACTTGTTAATTATTGGCTTGCTAATTTCTGGCCCCTATCCAAATAATTGCTATTCGATAACATGTAACAAGATGACTTCAATAGTATATAAAGTTGAAAATTAAACACCCCTTATATCTGACTGGGTTTTATGAGTGACTTTAATAGTAAAAGGTAACTACCGAGGCAGTACATCATAACAGATAAGAGCAGAAGCTCTAGAGTTAAATTTGGCTCTCCTATTTACTGGTTATATAATTGGAGGTAATTTGTTTTCTTCACCTCAGTTTTCTTATCCCCAACATGAGGGCAGCCTTACTCTGGTAAGGCTGCTGGAAACATTTAGTTGAAAAATGTTTAAAGTACATTTCTAGGCATATCACAAGGACTCACTAAACAAAGCTATGTTAGTATTAAATACCATAATTTTTGTATTTTATATTACAACTGTGTAAAACATATCCAGAGGGAAAAAGCACATTTATCACCACAGAAACAGTTTAAAGTTTAGGAACAAACAAATTCTATGAATTCTTTTACCTTGGGCAAGAAACACCAACCAGTGTGCAGATGCTGAAGGCAAGACAGCTTCTATGGGGAAGATTTCTCATGTTTTAGTGAAAGCCACACAGCATGCATCTCCATGTCCTCTGGAGCTGGACTAGACTTGTGAATCCAAATGTCACCTGTGAGAGGCTCCTACTATTTAAAAAGCATCAACGGAAGAACCACCAGACTGTAGCCAAACATACCTGTGAAAGGATAGAGCCATCCGCACAGTAGACTGAACTGCAAAAGCTTTGGGATTTCTCTTCTGGGCATCTTCTTCGTCTCCTAGCTGGAGATCCTGCAGATGCCGCTTCTTTTTCTTTTCAGCTTTGGGCCCACTGTTTTTCTTTCTGTGTTTCTTCTGTTCCTTAGCCTCCATAGTGGCTACTTACCAATAACAAGTAACTCTAACCTACAAGGAAGAAGGTTGGGGTAAGGATGTGGGAGAAGCATTTTACAATCCCGGCAATACCCAGGAAAAAACAGTAAATTTCATTTATTTCTTTATGAAGAGATAATGTATTTGTTCACTGAACAAGGGTGGAAACTGCTTAACCATCCCCAATTTCATTTCTGTTATGCTATAGATTAATGAGTTACTTCTGCTAAGGTTACATTTTATGGTTAAGTTACTTTTTAATCATCTTAAGTGTCAATATCAAAAGTATTTATTTCTGCAAGGATGGAAATATTCTATATCTGTACTTTATAGCCATTTAGCCATTCGCCACATGTGGTTACTTAAAATGTACTTAGGGAAACTGAAAAAATGAAATTTTAATTGATTCCACTCTATAAATGGTCACATGTGGCTACCATACTGGACAGCTCAGACTTAGATATCAACGGGACTAATGAAGTGATTTCCTAACTTAAACTAAAACTTAAATTTCAAAAAAAAAAAATTAAAAAATTTTTTTTTTTTTTTTTTTTTGAGGCAGAGTTTTGCTCTTGTCGCCTAGGCTGGAGTGCAGTGGCAAAATCTTGGCTCACTGCAACCTCCGTTTCCCAGGTTCAAAGCGATTCTCCTGCCTCAGCCTCCCAAGTAGCTGGGATTACAGACATGCACCACCACACCCCACTAATTTTGTATTTTTAGTAGAGATGGGGTTTCATCATGTTGGCCAGGCTGGTTTTGAACTCCTGACCTCAGGTGATCCATCCACCTCGGCCTCCCAAAATCCTGAGATTACAGGTGTGAGCCACTGTGCCAGACCTAAAAATGTTTTTATGAACCTCCAATATGATCGTAGTATTACTTTTAGTACCTGTTGACTCTGTAAAACTTGTAAATTACAACTCATCTACATACATTGAAAAATAGCAGTTATCTGTATGTGTGCGAAATGACTGGTTCTAGATGATGCCTGGAGACTCCATGGACTTACAGAGACCCTTCCAGTGATTTCTGAGCTACCTGGCAATCTGTGGCCAGTAAGTTGGTAATCACTGAATTAGTGAGCTTTTAGGAAATCGGGGTACTTTAAATCTGACAGCTTGTTTTTAAAAAGGTGGGGCAGGGTACCATTTCATTCAATTAAGGTACTGTATTAATTCCGTTTAATAAATATTTGTGTCTGTCTATGATGTGTTAGGCACTGTGCCAGTAAATGGGTACAGCTATGATATGATTTGCAGAGGGAAATCCAAACTAGTATCTTCCATGCCATGCAATGAGGGATACATTGGAAGACTGCACTGGAGCATGGAGGTGAGTCAGAGGCTTCCCACAGGCACATACACCAGTGTGGAAAAAGAAGGGGTTTGGTTTTTTTTTTTTTTTTTTTTAGACAAGAGTTGCGCTGTGTCACCAGGCTGGAGTGCAGTGGCGCCATCTCGGCTAACTGCAACCTATGCCTCCCGGGTTCAAGAGATTTTCCTGCCTCCGCCTCCGGAGTAGCTGAGACTACAGGTACGCGCCACCATGCCCAGCTAATTTTTTTCCATTTTTAGTGGAGACGGGTTTCACCAAGTTGGCCAGGATGGTCTCGATCTGTTGACCTCGCGATCCGCACACCCCGGCCTTTCACTGGGATTACTGGCGTGAGCCACCCCGCAGGGCCCATTAAGTCTTTATATATCATCAGGAGAGCTGGGCACTTAGGAGCGCTTTGAAACTGAACAGCTGTGTGATTTCAGAGATTATGCTGCTTCTCTACTATATTTCAGTTCTGAACTTGTAATGTTTTTCTCTCCATGCCTTTCTTCTTGGTGGGAAAAGCACAATTTGGGGTCAACAGATCCGGCTCAGATCTAAGTCGCCTGCCAGGACCCCATCTCCGGGAAACGATGTCTCTTCACTACCTTCCCTCCCCGTCGCGTCACTCTTCCAATGACCCCGGCACACTTCCCATAGATGCGAAATATGCCTATTCTCCGGAGCAAAGATGACCCGGAGGACCGGAACGACCTTCCCACCCGCACGTCTGGCGAGCCTCCCAGTGCCCAAGACCCAGGGACCCTACCGCCACCTACCACAGCCAGGCACTGAATCGGATCACAATCGCAACTCAGGTCTGCATGAAAATCACCGGAAACGGAAATTCACCATCGCGCTGACTCGCCGGAGGGAAACAAGAAGGAAGAAAAAAGAAACCGGCCGGGGGACGACTTTCAGTGGAGAGCCGGAAGAACGAGTCGTGAACAGCTGAGTGTACGCGCAGGCGCCGTCCACGCAATGCGGTCCGAAGTGTCCGCGTCGCTTCTTATTCCGCCCGTCTCGCCCTCGGAAACCGCGGCCTCAACTCCCGCGGTGGGACTCTCCAGCAGCGTGCAGCGCGCTCGCCGGAGTCCTCCCGGAAGGCCAGGGCGGCTGTGAGACCTGGAGCCGGTAACTTGCTGTGTTACAAAAGCCCGAAGGAGACACATTTGGTCCTGGCCGCCCCGGGGTCACCGTGCCAGGGAGGAATGGACTATCGCTCAATTGGGAGTCCACTTCCTCCTCTATAAAGATGACAGATGAGGGACATCTCGCGTTCCGGGGTGTCCTAAAGCTCTCTTTTGACCGGGTGCGGTGGCTCACGCCTGTAATCCCAACACTTTGGGAGATCGAGGCGGGAGGATCGCTTGAGCCTGGAGTTCAAGACCAGCCTGGGCAGCATAGGGAGACCCCTTTTCGCGGTTGAGGGGCGAGGGGAGGGGGAAATTAGCCGGCATCGTGGCTGGCGCCTGTAGTCCCAGCTACTCTGGAGGCTGAGGCGGAGGTTGCAAGGGAGCTGAGATTGAGCCACTGCACTCCAGCCTGGGCCAGAGAGCGAGACACTATTTCAAAGAAAAATAAATAAAATAAGGCCCTCTTTTGCCAGGACCAACAGACTCGGAGGACAGGGACAAACTGACCCAGCCTAAACTGCCCTAGCCGTGCTCCTGGGAAGGGGGCTTCCCCTGAGGGAACGTAGCATGTGGCCATTTTCTTCCTGCACAGCTTTGCCTTCCCAGGTCTCTGCCCATTCCTACCTGAGGAAATGCCTTGCAGTCCGTCTGACCTCCAGCCCAGCTACTTGGAATGCCTACAGAGCATACATTGTCAGAGGATGCATCTTCCTCTAATCTTGGTGGGTTTCTTTTTAATATGATCCCACTGGTGTACTCAAGGCTCAATTCTACACCAAAATACCAGGCCACTCCTGTCACCGAGACCCCTAGGCTTCAGGTCCTCTTACAGGGACCTTGTTCTCAAAACCCCCAGGTATTCACTCTGCATACACTATATTCTGGGTGTTGGACTAGGGAGGCTACCCACATGGTGCAAACTTCCCTTATCCGTGAAGAGCCTAGGATGTTGTAACTTCTTCACACTAGGCCTCCTACTTCTTGGAGATTTCAGTATCCGGGAAGATAATCCTTCTAACATCCTTTTGGTCTCACAAAATCCACTCTTGTCCTCTGCCCTACCTCAGCTTCCCGCTTCCTCCATGATCAGACCTTAGACCTTGTCGGGTCCAAAGACTGCAACCCCCACAGTATCCCACTCTGACCACCACCTCCTAGCTATTCAGGTTACTCCGTACAAGCCCTGAAACAAAACTCCTGCAGCCTTACCAGCACCTCCAATCCACATCTTACTACTTGTTCACTGTTTATTCCTTCCTTAATTTTCCCTCTCTAGTGAGCCAGCTTAAACTCCATGGCCAATCATTCTCATTAGTCCCTTGAACACCTCAATTCACCCACCTCCCTGTCACCTCCTATCTGCTTGGTAAGATGGAAGCCCTGGATAAACCCAGCTCTCCATCTATTCCATGCCACAACCATACAACGAAACATGGCTGAAGGAAAACAGGACCATGCCAGATTAATCCTGGTCTCTTCAATCTTCCATTTTTCCAAATGAGTATTTCACACTTCCTCCTCTCTGTTCAATCCTTCCCACTGTCTCCCCCTTCCTTGCCTCCTGCTTTGCTAAGAGAATAGAAGTGGTAAAAGTCTTACACAGACTCCCACCTCCACCTCCACTCATCTGCCTCCTATTGCCTGCCTGTGACTGTGGATGAACCACTGCTGTGTCTACCCACTGCACTGGACTGCTGAATTCCATCATCTCTTACTGCTCCAGGGTGTCACTCCAGCCATTCTATCCTCTCTCCACCATCATTACTATTTCCCTTTCTACTGGTCTCTTCTCATCATCACACAACATGCAGCTATTTCTCTCATCTTCAAAACAAACAAATTAGTCCTGACCCTATCTCCTATACCAGGACCTGCACCTTTTCTCCACTCCCCTTTGGGGCAAAACTTCACAAAAGAATGGTCAATACATACTCTGGCTCCACTCCTCCTGTTCTCTCTTTGATTCACTTGTCTCACAGGACTCCACCTGCAGCCCTGGATGTTCTTTCTCAGCTGCCTTTGCTGGTTCCCCTGCTCTTGCCTGACCTATTTAAATTAGAGCGAGGCCATAGGTTCGGCCTTCAGTTTTCCTTTTCTTCTTTGTCTATACTTAGTCCTTGAATGACCTCATTCTGTCTCAGTTTTACATGCCATCTGTATCAGTTATTGATATGCTGTGGGTCTGTCCCCGCCCAAATTTTGTGTCGAATTGTAATCCCCAGTATTGGAGGTGGGGCCTGGTAGGAGGTGATTGGATCATGGGATCAGAGTCTTCATGAACGGTTTAGCACCAGTCCTCTAGTGCTGTCATCATGATAGAGTTCTCACAAGACCTGGTTGTTTAAAAGTGTGTAGCACCTCCCCACGCTCTCTCTTCCTCCTGTTCCAGCCATGTAAGACATGGGGGTCAATGAGCTGCAGTTTTTTCTGCCTCCAATCTAGAAAGCCTGATGGAATGATCAAGGTGTCCTGGAAAGATTTTGAGCTCGAAGAGACAGTCCCCTCCAGGAACTCAGAATTTTGTTTGTTGTTTAAAGAGTAAGAAGCTGCTGGGTGTGGCAGCTCACACCTGTAATTGCTGTGCTTTGGGAGCTAGAGGCAGGAGGATCACTCGAGGGCAAGAGTTAGAGACCAGTCTGGGCAACACAGTGAGAAAAAAAAAAGCATGAAGACCCCTCTCTTTATCCCTACTTGAGAGATGTGACTAGAAGGCAGAAAGCTAGCTGTCGAGGGGGAGTCTTGCTCTTCATCAGGCAGAGGCATGGGCTGCTTCCTGGGGCAGAGGTGTGGATGGTATTTCTGGCTCTGTAGTTCCTGATGAAGATGTACAGGGGCACCTAGGCTAACCTCTGGCAAAACTAGGAGCTGAACTCAGGAGTCCCTGATGCCAGTCTCTGGTGTGGTCCCCCTCTCCTCCCCCATGTGTTTTGCCCCCTAGCTCCCTCCCCACAAGCTCCAGCTGGCTGGTAGAGGATGTCTTGCTCCTCAGAAACTGGGATTTGTAAGTATTTATAGGAATATGGAACAAATCAGTGGCTGATAGGCCTAGGGAGTGGCAGGCCCCTTCCTACAGGTCAGCAGCTTCATTCCCCTTTCATGCACCCCATCCTGATTTGAGGGAGCCCAGGATGGCAGAGGGAGTAGTCAAGCAAGGTATGGGGTGGCAGCCTCCACAGGAGCTCAAAGTGTGCACTTGTCCATCTGCCGCGGGCTCAGCTTCCATGCTGGGAGTTACTCACATCCCTCCACCCTCACCACAGCTCATCTGTGTGCCCACACAGCCAAGGCCACACTGACCCCAAACACATACTCTTTCAACTCTCAGCACTTCACTGTCACACTCACTTGTGTGCACACATGCTTTCTAAATTCCACAGCCACGTGGATGCTCACAGGCTCACACACAGGCTCACACTCACAGACCCACTGGGGGCCCAGATCCTGGTCATTCCCCACAGGTTTTTTGTTGTTGTTGTTGTTGTTTTTTTTTTTTTTTTTTTTTTTGAGAAAGAGTCTTACTGTGTTGCCAGGCTGGAGTGCAGTGGCACGATCTCTGCTTACTGCAGCCGCCGCCCCCCAGGTTCAAGCGATTCTCCTGCCTCCCAAGTAGCTAGGATTACAGGCACGTGCCACCGCAACTAGCTAATGTTTGTATTTTTAGTAGAGACGGGTTTTCACCATGATGGCCAGGATGGTCTCAATCTCTTGACCTCATGATCTGCCCTCCTCGGCCTCCCAAAGTGCTGGGATTACAGGTGTGAGCTATCGCACCCAGCCTCCCCACAGATCTTAATAAAGGTTCTGGGAGGAAAACTTGTTTCCTAAGATGGGTTGGGAGTGTGTGTGTTGGGGGGGGTAGAGTGTGAGTGTGAGAGTGCATATATGTGTGTTAGTGTGTGTGAATGTATGTGTAAGGAGCAGGAGTGACTAGGTCCTGAGTTTAGGGAGTGGGGAAGAGAGATGGAGACAGGCGTGGACCAAGAGCCTCTCAGCACTGACATCCTGGAAGGGAAGCCAGGCTGAGATAAGGGCAAGGCAAAGACATAGACAATGACAAGGATCAAGCCAGAGCCAGGGACAGACTGGGGACAGAGCCCGCCACCATAAGAAGCTGTGACATTGCTGCTCCAGTGGCCTGTGACAGCAGCACCATCTCCAGTTAGAGCCTCCCACTTCTGGATCTTGTCACTGTGACTTTGCTTTGCTACTTGGGCAGACAGGAGTGGTGATAGGCAGGGAAGATGGTGCCCAGGGCAGCTGGCCATGCCACTCCAGCCTGGCTGCCAACGTACCCGTCACTGCCCATCTCATCACCTGGGGGGTCCAGAGGAAACTAGCGGTCAGCCTGGCTGCCCTTGCCTCCTAATGTCATAGTGGAGGCTAGGGGAGCAACCGGCCTTCTTCCCCAAAAGGTGGGCAGGGTTAACCAGACCTTGCCTGGATCCCTGAAGTCCGTAGCTGAGCTTGGGGAGAACTGGCCAAGTCTCTGCTTCCAGGCACCCGGGAACTATTAGAGACAGGAACCAGCATATGAGACAGGCTTGAGGAGAAAGTTTGAGAAGACACATTTTTGGCATAAACTGGGGGCCCCTCTCTGCACTCACTGAGCCGGTGGCCTGCGCGGTGCTGAACCTGCCCCTGGCCGTGCCTGCCTGGGACAGCGCCTGAGCAGTGGCTGATCCCGCCTGGACGTCCTGAGCTGGCTCCCACCCCACGCCCACCGTCCTCGGT